ATTCGGCTGTTGAAACTTATGCATGCTTCACGAAGTTCTCATGTTGTGTTTTTCAGCTCCATCAATTCACTCATATTCCTCTCTAGGTTGTCCATTCTTGTTATCATTTCCTCAAATCTTTTTTCAAGGTTCTTAGTTTCTTTGCATTGAGTGAGAACATGTTCTTTTAGCTCACGGAAGTTTCTCATTACCCACCTTCTAAAGTCTGATTCCATCATTTCATCACACTCACTCTCCATCCAGCTTTGTTCCCTTTCTGGTGAGGAGTTGTGATCCCTTGTAGGAGGCGAGGTGTTCTGGTTTCAGGTGTTTTCCTCCTTTTTGCACTGGTTTCTTCCCATCTTTGGGGATTTATCTACCTGTCGTCTGTGCAGTTGCTGATTTTCAGATTGGGTCTCTGAGTGGATGTCCAGATTGTTGATGATGAAGTTATTTCTGTTTCTTAGTTTTCCTTCTAACAGTCTGGCCCCTCTGCTTTAGGACTGCTGAGGTCCTCTCGAGGCCCTGCTTGCCTGGTGGTCACCTGCAGCAGCTGCAGAACAGTAAGGGTTGCTACCATTTCTTCTTCTGCTGTCTTTGTCCCAGAATGATGCCCACCAAATGTCAGTCTGATCAGTCCTTTGTGAGGTGACTCTTTGGATATATGGGGGTCAGGGAGCTGCTTGAGAAGACAGTCTGTTCTTTATAGGAGTTCAAGTGCTGAGCTGTGAGCTCCATTGTTCATTCAGATCTGCTAGGCGGGTACATTTAAGTCTGCTACAGCAGAACTCATAAACCCCCTTTTTTTCCCCAGGTGCTCTGTCCCAGGGAATTAGGGCTTTATTTATGGGTATCCGTTGCGTTGCTGCCTCTTTTTTTTTTTTTTCTTTTCAGGGCTGTCCTGCCCAGCAAGGAGGCAGCATAGTCATTGCCTGCAGAGGCTTTGCTTAGCTGCTGTGGGTTCTGCCCTGCTGCTTGCTCTGCCCTGCTGCTGTGTGTATTTCCCTGCAGTCCTGTTTATATGGGTGTGGTTAGAACTGCCTCGGCAATGTTGGCCCACGTCTTTAATGGCAGACTCTCTGTTATGGCAGGTTGCCTCGGCAACGGCAGGCTGTGTCAGCAATGACAGACTACCTCCATAGGGGTGGAGTGCCTCGGTAATGGCGGACGCCCCTCCCCCACAGAGCTGGGTCATCCCAGTTTTAGGTGTGCTTGCCATGAAACCCTCAACCCGGAGCATTTCCAATTGCTGTTTGTTTTTGCGGGCGTGGGACCCGCCAATCCTGATCACCTGGCTCCCTGCCTCAGAGCCCTTTTTTTTTTAAGTTTGGTTGACTCTCTCCCAGGTGTTTCAGTCGCCTTCTTAAAGGGTGCCAGGATCTGTGTGATTTCCCATGTGGCAACCCACTGTGCTGGCTGAAACAATGTGGCTGCCCAGGAATCTCCTGGCCTGGCTTTATGTTTTATGTTTCAGTCCCGTTTAAACAGATGAATGGGCTAATCTGCCTTCTCAGATCTCTAATTGCCAGTTTAACAGGGCAACCAGACCAGTGTATTTTGTACAGAGAGCCACTGCACTGTGGCACCGGCTGAAACAGCTACGCCAGTCGAAACAGCTGCACCGGCCAATCCTCCACCTGGGAATCTCCTGGTCTGTGGGCAATAAAGATCCGGCTGGAAATGCGGCATCCACTCACCCTCTGCACTTTCACTGGTAGCTGCAGTTCTGAGCTGCTCCTACAGCGCCATCTTCCCCGACTTGTTTAGTGCTTCTTTCAGGAGCTCTTGTAAGGCAGGACTGGTAGTGATGAAACCTCTGAGCAATTACTGGTGCATAAAGGATTTTCTTTCTCTTTTGCTTATGAAGCTTAGTTTGGTTGGATATGAAATTCTAGGTTGAAAGTTCTTTTCTTTAAGGATGTTGAATATTGGCCCCTACTCTCTTCTGGCTTGTGGAGTTTCTGCCAAGAGATCCACTGTGAGTCTGATGGGCTTCCCTTTGTGGGTAACCTGACCTTTCTGGCTCCCCTTAGCATTATTTTTTCTTCATTTCAAACCTGGTTAATCTGGCAACTATGTGCCTTGGGGTAGCTCTTTTTGAGGAATATCTTTCTGGTGTTCTCTGTATTTCTTGGATTTGATTGTTGGCCTGCCTTATTAGTTTGGGGACGTTCTCCTGGATAATATCCTAAAGAATGTTTTCTAGCTTGGATTCATTCTCTCTGTCACATTCAGGTACACCTATCAAACATAGATTAGGTCTTTTCACATAATCCCATATTTCTTGGAGGCTTTGTTCCTCTTTTTTTACTCTTTTTTTTTTTTAATCTTGTCTTCTCATTTTATTTCATTTATTTAATCTTTAATCTCTGATATCCTTTCTTCTGCTTGGTTGATTCGGCTATTGAAACTTGTATATGCTTCGCAAAGTTCTCATGTTGTGTTTTTTGGCTCCATCTGGTCATTTATATTCTTCTCTAAGCTGTTTATTCTCATTAGCATTTCACCAAACCTTTTTTCAAGGTTTTTAGTTTCTTTGCATTGGGTTAGAACGTGTTCTTTTAGCAGAGAGAATTTTGTTATTACCCACTTTCTGAAGCCTGTTTCTGTCAATTCATCAGACTCATTCTCTATCCAGCCTTGTTCCCTTGCTGGTGAGGAGTTGTGATCCCCTGTAGGAGGAGAGGCATTCTGGTTTTGGGTATTTTCATCCTTTTTGCACTGGTTTCTTCCCATCTTTGTGGATTGATCTACCTGTGATATTTGTAGCTGGTGACTTTCAGATGGGGTCCCTGAGTGGATGTCCTTTTTGTTGCTGATGAAATTATTCCTTTCTGTTTCTTAGTTTTCCTTCTAACAGTCAGGCCCCCTCTGCTGTAGGACTACTGGAGGTCCACTCTAGACCCTGGTTGCCTGGGGATCATCTGCAGTGGCTGCAGAACAGTAGGGGTTGCTGCCAGTTTCCTGTTATCTTTGTCCCAGAAGGATACTCGTCATATGTCAGCCTGAGCTCTCTGTATGAGGTGTCTCTTTGGATATACAGAGGTTGGGGAGCTGCTTGAAGAGACAGTCTGTCCCTTATAGGAGCTCAGGTGCTGAGCTGTGAGCTCTCTTGTTCTGTTCAGAGCAGTTGGGCAGGTACGTTTAAGTCTGCTGCAGCAGAACTCATAACTGCCTTTTTTTCCCAGGTGCTGTGTCCTGGGAAGGTGGGGCTTTATTTATAAGTTCCTGACATGCTGCTGCCTTTTTTCAGAGATGCTCTGCCCAGCAAGGAGGTAGCCTAGTCACAGTCTGCTAGCAGAGGCATTGCTGAGCTGCTGTGGACTTTGCCCAGCTGCTATGTGAACTTCCTTGCCTTTTTGTTTATAGGAGTATAGTTAGAACTGCCTCGGTAATGGTGGTCTGCCTCAGTAATGGCGGACTGCCTCAGTAGTGGTGGACTGCCTTGGTAATGGCGGACACCCTTCCCCCTTCAGAGTTGGATTGTCCTGGGTCCAGCTGTGCTTGCTGTGGAACTCTCAATCCAGAGCGTTTCAGATTGCTGGTCTTTGTGGGGGTGGGACCTGTTGAGCCAGATCACTTGGCTCCCTGTTTCAGCCCCTTTTTTTCAGTTGAATGAGCGACTGACTCCCAGGCATTCCAGGGGTCAGCTGAAACAGCCATCCAGATTTGTGCAAGTTTTTGTGCAGACACCCACTGTGCCAGCTGAAACAGCCATGCTGGAGGCTTGTGGTGGTTTTCTGTCCAGGAATCTCCTGGTCTGTGGGCAGTAAAAACTCGTTTGGACATGCAGTGATCACTCACTCACCCTCCGTGATCTCGCTGGGAACTGCACTCCAGAGCTGTTCCTATTCAGCCATCTTGGATCCCTCTCCCCCTTTATTTCTTTTCTAAACAGGTGGAGGATGCAGTTTAATGAAATGAGAATTAGCAAATTTATATTCTTTATAACCAAGTTTTATCATATTAAGCATTCCTAGAAATGGTTTTAATCTTTTTAGTATATATGCATGCATCTGTTTTTATTAATTTGGTCTGATTTATAATGAAACAGATCATCTGTGTTCACTCAAATGTAGAAGTGCTTTATGATACCAGTACCTAATTTCTGTACCACTGTGGCCAGTGAACTAGGAGAGAGAAAGAGGGAAAACCTTTCCCTGCCATAGTGAGTGGCTCTACAGAGGCAGGATGTTTGTCTGCCAGATTGACTCATTGATACCAGATCTAGTCTCTTAAGTTACTGGGCAAAGGGTGGAGAAAGTGGGAAGTCTGTTTTTTTTTCTCAAACAAAGGTGGGAACCACCATGAGTTAAAATCAAGTTAGATTCTTCTTAGCACAGCCCCATCTGCCTTTCCCCCAGTTTCATCTAGTATGGCCAGAGCATGGCATTATATTTTCTCTCTGTACCTTTATGAAATTGTTGGGAAAATAAGGAGTGATGGGGACTGTTTGCTCAATATCATTTTATCAGTTGTTTTCTAAATAGACAGGACATCCAGCTGATTGATTTTGTTTGCTTTATCCAGTTGTTTAAGCATGCCATATATTACATTAGGATCACAAAATAAGTTAACATCATCTTTTAAATATGCTTAATTGACAGATCCTCCATTTAAAAAAAGATAGCAAGTAGTGAAAAGAATAAATTAGATTATGAATATTGGGTCTCTGGTTTACCAAGTCCTCTGACTGGGCCCTTCACTTAGGATTTCTGTTTTTCAGCTATTATTAGGATTTCTGTTTTTCAGCTATTATTTCAGTAGTCTGGAGGAAATAACTGTTCTGCAGATCTTAATTTAGATTACAGAGATGATGAATTCCAACAAATATAAAATAATAGAAGATCTTTAAAGGCTTTGGTCACAGTTTCTATATAGTACACCACATAAAACTAAGCATACTTAGATATGTGATCTTGTTTTTGGCAAATTGAACCCTCTGGTTTTGTTCAATGTAATTATTTTTTATCTCACCACTGTCTGTTTTATTTTGCATTTTGTTTGTATTTTTGTTACAGCTGTTTCACTCGATTCAGAGAACCTGTCTGGACTTATCAAAAGCAATTGTACTCTATCAAAAGAGGATATGTTGTAAGTATGACATCAGTATGAATATTGACCAGATAGTAAGAGATAGCAGCATATTTCTGTCTTAATGTATCATTAATATGTTTAAGAAACTAATGGTGTTTGTCTCTGTCTTTAGGCAGTTGGGAGGAAAATCTCTAATAATTTTACCAATAATATACATAGCTTGTTTATCTTACAAGGCAAGTGTCATATTAGGGTAATTCTGTATTGGATCTCCCATGGATATGGCCGTTTATTTTCCCAATTATAAAACAGTTTTCTCTGTATCTTGGGCTTTTTTATTTCAGGGTTTTTAAAATGTGATTATCTTCACTGCCTTATATACAGTTCTGTTCCTTTTAAGATGACAAACTGAGACAGAAGGCACAAAGAGTAAATTTTTTTGGTGATATTTTGTTGACAGCATTTCTTTATGAATGTTTTTTGCATTGGATATTAGGTTCCTACACAACAATATTTTTATATAGTCACCTTGTCTTAAAAGCATTAACAACTAAGTTATCTCTGAAATACTAAATGTCAATTATGTGTTAGTAAATTTTTTAAGTCTCCATTTGTAGGTCATTTTAATAATGTAATCTCTATATTTTTGAGACTAGACTATGGGAAGTCTTTCTGTTGCTGACTGCTGCCAAACCGCTTTTCAGTAATCAGAAATTAATAATCGGGCCATTTTTCTACATCAGTAATATTTTATTAAGACTATCATTTTGGTAGGCTATGTGCAGTGGCTCACATCTGTAATCTCAGCATTTTATAAGGCCGAGGCAGGAGGATAACTTGAAGCCAGGAGTTTGAGACCAACCTAGGCAACAAAGTGAGACCCCATCTCTACAAAAAAAATTAAAATACCTAAAAATTAGCCAGGCATGGTGGCATGTGCCTGCAGTCCCAGTTACTCAGGAGGCTGAGGCAGGAGGATCACAGTGACCTATATTGAGCCATTGTACCCCAGCCTGGGCAACAGAAGGTTACTGTCTCTTAAAAAAAAAAAGTCAACTACTTTGGGAAAGTTCAAAATCATTGTACATAGAGCAACAGTATTTTATAAATTATCTATGTCACTATATCCTAAGTGTTTGAGCTAAGAGTTCTCCAGAGCTCCAATTCCAGGTCTTAATCTGTGGGGAAATTAAGACACATGACTGCTATGCCCCAATTTATGATGGAAACCACATCTAGTCAGTCTCAAATGCTGGGTTTTTGACCCCAAATAGCTCTCAGATTCTCCTTCCTCTCTCTGTCTTCTCTGCCACTACCTTGGTTCAGGCCACCACCATTACACTCTCACTTGGTTTACTAAATCAGCCTCCTCACTGATCTTGCCTACACCCCTGCTTTCTCTCGCCCATTGTCTGCACTGCCATCAATCAAAGTAGACTTTTAAACCCGACAAGATTCTTCCTTGGCTTAAAACTTGTGTTCTGTGAACAATTGATCAGACTCCTAACTATACCCACCATCCCCCAGTACTCACCATAAAATGAATGTTTCTTTCTTATAGTAGAAAACAAAATAATTTAGAAAATTCTAACTTTAATTTTTTAAGTAAGTCACATGAAGTTGGTGTATCCACTTTTTATTAAGCAATACATATTTTAACAAAGGAAGAAAAGAAAGATTCTTGCATATTTCCTGTAAATAGTGATTCTCGAAATAGAAGCTGTATTTTCCACCTATGTTAATGTTTCTAAAAGAATATGGAGAAAAAACTTCCCACTAAACCACCTCAGATTAGTTAATAGAATTATAATTGAACACCATCAAGGCTCATAATTATCTAATAATATAAAGGGTTAGAATAATGTCCCCATCCTTGAAGCAGTCACCTGGTTGTGCCGGCAGAGCTGGCTGTGGATGGTGGGTAAGCCCTTTTATCTACCTGCTAAGCTCATATGAGCCATGCCATCTCAGTGGAGATGGGAAGGAGGAGTTCTGCCCTGCTTGGACTTGAAAGAGATCCCAACTTTGAGGAAGACCAAAAATAGTTTGGTTAATTTGAGGGTGTTGCCATGTAGCTGTCAAAGAAAAAAAAAAAAGAGGAAAATCTCTGAACTAATATGGAGTGATTTTGAGGGTATGCTTTTAAGTGAAAGAAGCAAAACATAAAAGGGTGTCTATAGTATGCTATCTTCATGCAAGCAGGAAGGCGATATGAAATGTAAGTGTAAAAAAGGGTAATACATATATATAGTGTGTGCGTATTACCATTTTTATGTTATATTACATTTTACCATCTATATCTATATTGAGGGAGTGAGCCTGCTCATTGTGCAAAGGAAATTCAGGAAGCATAAACCAGAAACAAAAGAGATTGGATACCAGTGGTGGGTGGGGTTAGGGGAAGGGTTGGAGAGGAGGGAATGAGAATGGCGGAGCAAAGGTGAGGAGGGAGCTACATCTTCCTGAGATACCTTCCCGTAGCTTTGATTCCTGAAACCATAGTAACATTTCATATACTCAAAAAATACTTAAACCCAGCCAGATGTGGGAAAAGTAACAAATGAACTTAATTGCATTATAAGTGAATAACATTGTCACAATGACCAGAGTTTAGAAAAAGAAGGAACTACAGTAGTTTTGGAACATAATTATTTTTGACTGGACACTGAGGCTAAACACAAAAAGAATTATACATGGAAACTGTATTCTCATTGGGAAATTTGTTTCTTAGAGGAATGTGAGCAGTGCTGAAGCTACATTATGCAAATATTGAAGATGAACAGATAAGTAAAGATATTGCAGATGATGAGAGCCGGGTTTCTCACTCTCTACATTAGAAATAATTTGCAGAAAAAGAAAGGGAGAAGCTAAAAGGAACACTGTGGTTTTGCACTGGCATCAAAGGTGCCACTATGAAGTCATTGTTTTTAATGTCTATACAGATAGCTATACACAGAAATAAATGCAGATGAGTGTGTATGCGTGGGTTAGTATACATTCATATATGTCCTGTTTCTGTGAGCTGACATGACCTAGAAGCACTAACACCCCATAACAGTGAACTCATCTGGCACCCAGATCTTGCTTTCTAAATACCTTTTCCCAATAAAAGAAATGCTCCTTGGAGAAGTGGTTGATTCTAGGATTGGAGCAGGGAAAATTCAAGATGCACCAGTATTATTTGTAACACTAGAATATAAGGAAGTGCTTGAAAAAGGATATGTCGAAAGGACACAGGAGCAAACCTGTGATCAAAGCTGGCACAATTTAAGCAATAAATTAAATAATGGCAGTATTAAATTATAACCCATAGAATAAAATTAATTTCTCTTAAGTCTCTATGAAGAGAGAGCGATTAATGGTGGAGAAGGGACAGCTTTTACTTATAAAATAAATTCAGTTAATTAATAGAAAGAATGACAGAACTACAAAATCACCCACAGATAAACACCACAGTGAGAATGATGACAGGTGAGATTCACTGAAGAGTGTTAGAATTAGGGAGTGAAAGTTTGAGGAGAAAATGGACATTTGCATCATCTCATATATTCCCCCCCCAAGATTTTTAATGATTATTAAAGGAAAAAACCATTCTTAACTTTACAGTGGAGAAACGTAGCAGATACCTCCTTCACCAAGTGATTGAGGTTGACGTCATGAGAGATGAGGTCCACTGATGTCACGTAACCTCTGATGCCATGCACTAAGAATGACACTTCACCACTGTGTATCCTTCCCAAATATCCATAACCCCAGTCTGATTCTGAGAAATCAGACAAACCCAAATTGAGGCACAGTCTACAAAATAGCTGACCAGTACTCTTAAAATCTGTCAAAGTCATGAAAAATAAGAAAGACTGAGGAACTGTCACAGATTGAAGGAGACTAAGGAAACTCAATATTTTGATGCCTGGTGAGACCCTGGATTGGATCTGTAACAGAAAGAGAATGTTAATGGAAAAACTGGTAAAATTTAAATTAGGGCTTTATGTTAGTTAACAATATCGTGCCAATGTTAGTTTCCTAGTGTTGATTATTGTACCATGATTATGTAAGATGTAAATATAAGGAGATGCTAGGGAAGGTAAGTACTAAGGGATGTTAAGGAAAGGTACACAGGAACTTTATATACTGTTCGTAATTTTTCTGTAAGTCTGTCATTATTTCAAAATAAAAGGTTTAATAAATGTAAATTGGATCACATCACTTCCCTACTTTTAAAAGACTCCAATAGCACATAAAATGGAATCCGACTTCCATTCTTATACACGGGACATGATCTGGCCCCAGTTCACCTTTTCAGCCACCTTTTCCCTTGTCCACCAAACTCCCAAGGCCTTTTGCACCAGATGTTTCCACTGCCTGGAAGGACCCTGCTCTCATAGTCCCAAGACTATTGTCCTTCAGAGCTTGGTCCAATAGTCACCTGCTCAGAGATGCCTTCCCTGATTACCTTGTCTAAGGCAGCTACCGACCACTCACTCTTACTCCCCATCTCTCATTGCTGTAGCTGGTATTTCTCTTTTTTGTGTTTTGTGTTTGTGATTACGTATGTTTTATTTTCTATCTCCTACTGCTTGAATATAAGCTCTGTAAGTGTGGGGAACTCCTGTATCCTCTTCATCACTGTATTCTAGTGGGAAGAATGGTGCCTCCTATGTATTGGATCATCCATAAATCTGTGCTGAGTGAGTTAATGCTGTCAAGCTAATTGACTTCATAGTTCCATAGTTGCCTTGTTTTTAAAGGCACATCTGAAAATTTAATCAGCAATTAAATATAAAAATGTTTTTTGATTCTGAATTTTCAAGTCCCAAATAATTGAAACCTTATTAATAGAACGTTTTGAGTTATCTTTTTTTATTTTTACTTTCTTCTTGTAATAGAGACAGGGATCTTGCTGTGTTCCCCAGTCTGGTGTTGAACTCCTGGTCTCAAGGGGTCCTCCTACCTCTACCTCCCAAAAGTGCTGGGACTGCAGGTGTGAACCACCACACCCAGCCCTTTTGAGTTATCCAATACTTACATTATACCTGAATTTTAAACTTCTCTAAGTTAACTTCAGTATTTGAGTTTTTTAAATTAAAGAATGACCATCCCTTCTTAGAAAATCTAACCTTGAGCCTGATGGAGCTCACCCTTCTTTCCACTGTCCTCTGAGTAAGTACTGCCGATAATCAGAGTCAGCACCTAAAATGAAACCTGTTTGCTGCTCCGAGTTAATCCTCAAGTGCCTAAAATAACCCCAAATCATTTTTAAATCCTTTAGCCTACTTAGGTTTATTTAGGAAAGAGTATATTTCACCAACCATGTAATCATTCAGGTACATGAATTGGTTTCTTCCTAGCCTTAAGCTAAATGCATTCATTTGTATGTGACTAGAGACTTAAGGTAAAAAGGGTGACAGTAGCCTCATGCTATTAAGAACATAAATGAGAAATTACTCTCCATAGGGAAAGGTTCACTGTGGAATTGAGTGAGGTGCCTATTAGTCAGTGGGGAGGAGAAGGAATAGAAGGTATTTTAAAAAAGAAAAAAAACCTTCTTATAATTATAGGAATTTTAAAAAGCTATGTAGAACCATGGCATAAGTATTAAATGGCAGTAAGCATTAAAGTGTATGAGGATAACAAGACGAAATTATAGTTAATTCAATTGACCAGCATTTAATTAGCACCATGAATATAAGACTTTATGCTCAGCCTGGGGATTACAAAGTTTGGGTGAGATCCCTGTCTTGGAAAGCTTAGAGTCTCCTGGGAAAGAGAGACACACGCCAGTCACTCACGGTGAGTGCTACGTCAGGTGACCAGAGGGCGCTGCTATCCAGAGAAATAGGGATCAATTACTTCACAGAGGAAGGAAGCTGTGAGCAGGCCTTTGACAGTGAACTTGATTTTTGAGAGACAGAAAAGAAGCAGGGTCATCATTTATCTCTTAGGAAAAATGGATTCTAAAAGCCTCTTCTTGAATGGGCCTTCCCAAAGGACTGTTTAGAGTGAACTGTAATCACAAATTAATAAGGTAGCAGTATCGAGTTTAGCCTTCACCTTTGGATTTGTGGTTTCTGCCTAATGTTCTACAGCTATTGTTGGTGAGATTGTTTCAGGAATGGGGGTGCATTCATAAATAAAAGTCTGGACTGGTTTGTGAAAACTGACAAGAATCCTAGTAGCATTTTGAAAGCAGTTTTAAAAACACATGATGGGTAAATTCATCAATACAGAAATAGGAAATAAAAAGTGACGTTCAAAGTATGTTGATAGTAAATGCTGTGTTTAGGGGAAAAGCACAGTTTAGGAAGCTAAGTGTCCCTCTGGTACCTGTGGCTTGGCTGCTGGTGTGTGTTCAGGACCCCCACTGTGCCATTATGTGGGTGCTCTGTATTTTATTAAACTAGTTCCTAGTATAAGGAGATTGCTTTACTATTATAAATAATGATGCTGTAATTATTTTTAAATTTACATCTTTGTGCCCATTTTACTACTTCCTTAGGAAATACTCCTAACAGAAGTGCAGTGTCCAAAGATACATGCAATTCTAAGATTTTTTAAATATTTACTGTCCAATCACTTTGTAGAAAGCTTGCACCAGACCACTTTCCCACCAATAATACCATCTGAGGTCATCTTTAAAAATAAGGCCAAGATTTGGCATCACTAAGTCAGATTTGGTTCCAGCTCTGTATTTTTAAAACCCACTGTTATCAACCTGATGACCTTCCTACCCTCAATCCCTACCCCCACTTCCAACCAAAAACCTGTGTCACGGCTGAGGTATTTGAATTGCTTTACAATCGAATAGAATGTAACTGAAAAAGCAGAGATCAAAAGTCAGCAGGAGAGAATAATGGAAGGCAGCTAGCACTGCATCCTAGTCAGCCACAAAAGATTCCCACAGTCATACTTGACAAACCCAACTCCTTTATTTCAGCTCAAAGCAGCACATTATGGGCTCGCTTTTCAGTACAGAGGTCATTTTCTGGTTCTGATTACAGGGCACCAAACTCACTGACAGATGTATTCAAGTGAATTTGATCTCTCGTATTGTAAATGGAAGAACAGCATGAAAGTTAAATGGGGGGTAGGGGAAGCTTACCTTGTAGCCTGCCACTTGGATTTAATTTCATCTTGTCTTGGCCTCTGGAAGAGAGAGGACCTTGGGATTTGTCTTTCTTGTTCCCTTTGTAATAAAAATGCTCATTGTTCATGGCTCCTTTTGGTCTTTTCTTCATCAGTCTTGTCTCAAGAAGAAAACGAACTGGGAAAATTTCTCCGATCCCAAGGCTTCCAAGATAAAACCAGAGCAGGAAAGATGATGCAAGCGACAGGAAAGGCCCTCTGCTTTTCTTCCCAGCAAAGGTGTGTGGCCTTCAGTGGGGCTTTATCTGGGGGGATCTGAGTAGACTCTGGGACCCACCTACTCACCAAGGGAAATCTCAGTGTTCTTTAGAAGGTGTTTGCCTGAGGCTGAGGAGCTGCTCAGTACTCACTAGTTTGTACTTAACTCTCTAATTAAGATTAACTTGTAGGATTTTATTTCTCCTTGTTAATTAAATTTTGTTTTCATTTTTCTTCTGGTCTGTAGGGGCATTATATATGCCAGTCACTATGAGTGCTGTCCTAGGCTTATGTTTGACCTTCAGTGTGGCTCAGAGCAATCACTCTGGTCCCCTTCCAGCAGCTGATTAAAGCAGGAGCCTAATGAGACCAGGCTGAAGGTTCCCTCTCTGCTCTCTGTGGGCCAATTAACTTCAGAGAGGTGCTGTTCTCATGCCCAGGTCCACGCTGCTCAGACCCCAGACCAGTAGCATGCCATGAGAGTGTGTTCAAAATGCAGAATCTAGGCCCCACCCCAGACCTGCAGGATCTGCATCTGCATTTTGACAAGATCCCTGTAGTTTTGATGTACATTCAAGTTTGAGACACTCTGGTCCAGGGAAAATTGTGGTAGATGAGTGGCATTTTTTTTTACCTGAACCGTGACTCATGTTTATGACGGACGTTAAATAAGCAGGAGCCCCTGCACACCATCTCTCTGCACCTGAGAAAGGTGACACTCCTCCTTGCTTCCTTCTCTCTGAGGAACTAACAGACCCCCAAAATGTCACCCACTAATATTAAGCAGAAGGTGGGTCATTCCCAAAAATATTCAGGCTATAGAAATTTCACTCACTCAAATTGTCCAGCGTTTTCTTCTCCTACTAATGTCTCCTTGCTGCTTTCTCTCTGTGCGAGCCAAGAGCAGGCCAGCAGCATGTTATATAGTTGTTCCTATGAAAACCCAAGGAAGATGGAGTAGGAAAAAAGAGACCTACCGTGTCCATTTTTTAGTGGTGTCTTCTTCTGGGCATTTTCGTTCTTTCTGATGACATTTGGACCTTGACGTTGTAGGCAATGCCAACTTTTATGCTTGAATGAAACCATTTCTGATAGTTCTCCACACATTTCCCAAGAAAGATATTTGTTTATCATCTTAAATCTTACCTTTTAATATTATTTATAATTTTTCTATGTAAAAATACTTATTCTAGAAAAATTTCAAAGCAGAGACAAGCCAAAGAGTGAAAATTAAAAAGCAACTAAAATTTTACTAATAGAGATGATCTACTTTTAACCCCTTAATAAATATTTTCTGTGCATATAGGACCTTTTCCAACCTTGCAAGAATAATTGTTCCTAAAAAAATATTTCATGGAGTAAATTGTCACATATTAAGCATATAATTATCACTAACCTCAGTGAGAAAAATTCTTAGGCAAATAAAGAGAAAAAAGACTCTAGAAATAAACAGATTCCTTAGAGAGATAGCTGAGGACTCTTTGACGTCTTTAAATAGAAGTCATCAGTTACACAAACCTTCGCACCAGTTTTGTTTTACTGACTTATTTGGCAGTCATTACTGCAACCACACATTGTATTTGATGAAAGGTGAGTATTAAATTAAAACAACAGGGATAACAAGCTTATTTCATGGCACAACAATGTCTTTAAAAATAATCTGCAACATCTAGGTAGGACAATGTGAGCAGGCTGTTCTTCTACAAGTGCTCACTATTTGAAAATAATACTTTACAGACAAGAAGAAAAATAGGGGAAATAGTAAAAGGAATTTTGTTCTTAGATAGTTCATTGCACCATTTGTAATCTTATCGTGCTACACACATGTAAGGCATTGTAGACATTAATGGAATTTCCAAAAGCTGACTTCAGCTCACTGACACGATTGCTCCCTTTAGCTAAATAAGTTTGCATTTAAATTGAAATTTAAATATTCATTTTTGGGGCACCTGTGCCCTGAAACTTCATGGAGAAGAGTGTATTTTAAGCATATAATTCATCTGACATTGCTCATTTTGGGTAGGGAGACCGAAGAAGCAGTATTTTTCCCCAAGATAAATATTTTATCTGAAGTTTAATATGCCTTAAACGTTTTTTGGCTGGGTAAATGGCATATGTTATGGCCAACCTTACAATAATTTTATACCTACTTCATCATGTTCATTTCTGCTATGGTATCCTCCAGTTTTTTTTTTAACAAGGATTAAATCATGTAATCTAGTTGAAAGTGCTAATACATGATAGACTCTCAGTAAATGTGTTTGTCCCCCTTCCTATACCATTTCAAAATGTTTCTGTTCATATTTCATTCCTCTGTGACTATTAGAGTGAGCAGCAGAGCTTTGGCTTTTGGAGAATGATCTAAAATGACCTAGTCAGAGAGACACTAATCACACACTCCATCCCTCCTCAAAGGGCCAAGTGTAGAAATGGGCAGTGGTCATGCCTTGGCCATCCTCCATGAACACAGAATTGGCTCCAGCTTCAAATGAGCACTCAGCCCAGGCTCAAAACCACCCCCAACAATGCTGACGGAGGTGCTTCCAAGTGGTCCAGTTAGTAGAAGTAAACTAAGGGATGGGTACATGAGTAATCATCTCTGGCTGACTCATCAGTTCACATGCATTTCAATTATTATTCATCAAATATTAATGGATCATCTTCTACATTCCAGGCACTGTTCTAGACTCATGGGTCTAAGATTGGCAGAATGTCAAGGATTTAAATTGCTCACTAGCTTAGTTTTGAGAGTGTGGCTTTGTCCTCTTGTCTAGGTTGGCCTTGCGAAATCCTTTGTGTCGATTTCACCAAGAAGTGGAGACTTTTCGGCATCGGGCCATCTCAGATACTTGGCTGACAGTGAACCGCATGGAACAGTGCAGGACGGAATATAGAGGAGCGCTATTATGGATGAAGGACGTGTCTCAGGAGCTTGATCCAGACCTCTACAAGCAAATGGAGAAGTTCAGAAAGGTAGGAAGTTTTATGAGGGTTACCAGAAGGGGTACCTGCTGGAAGGTAATGAGGTGTGATTTGAATCCCTCTGGTGAAGAAGACATAACTCAAAAGCACCAAGGATGCAATTAATCATCACTGGTGTCTTTTTATGTGACAGGATACCAATTAATGTGATATATAATTCTCTAAGGATAAGAGAGAAGAGACAGCTGGAAATTGCTGGGATTTTGTAACTGCTTTTAATTGAAGTCAGATTTTCTTATAATGTGCACTTTTTGTAAGGTTGTCACTTTTAAATGCCTTTTCATGCATAACTAAAAATCAAGATTAGATCACATGAATCTAGGAGGTAAGAACAGACTACTGGGGAAATCTTTTTAAATTGCTAATGAATATTAAAATTAATAGAATAATAATGCTCCTTTGTTTTGTGACATGAAGCGATGGGGTTTAGTTACAGGATTAATTGATGGAGCATTCCTTAGAAATTTCTCTGAGGAAAATAGGTGGCTGAAGAGATGACTATGCTCTTAAAGTTCACTGAAATAATTGGTGGGCAGCAAAGAACAATCTTGTTTTTTAATTATCTTGTGTCAAGTTAGCAGTTTGATTTAGTCATACAAGAATACCTCACACCACTAGGTGGCAGTCTTACACTAAATATTTATGAAAATGTAGAGAGATTTTTCGTCGTGTACAATCTCGGTAGTTCTTTGTTTGGTCGCCTGGATATATTTCAGGGTGTGAAAGAAAAAGAATCAGCCAAATGTTTGGCTTGACATAATATTGTGTCAACTGTCTTACTCATTTCCAATGATCCATTTGTAATTGTGATGTTGCTTAAAATCCCTAGATTTCTTATTACATACATTATTTCAAGCTACAAATAGAAGCATCACTTGCTTTGGAGGTTAGCTGTGTAGGAGTGGAGGAAAGGAGGAGCCTTCTGGTGCTTAAGAATACGGTCACCAGTTCTTGACCTAGATGTAGATTGATTCCCTTAAAGTCATTGGTGTGTGATTTGGAACCCTTCCCTCTGAAGAGAAACCAGGGTTTATTTTATTTCTGATCACAGATGTCCTTCATGTGTCAGCAATATCTGACTTCTTCATAAGGTAGGCTTCTAAGTCATAGAAAATTAGGACAGAAAAGGCTCTTCGTGATCCTCTAGTGAAACTCACTCATCTTATAGAGGAGAAAAATCAAAGCCCCCAAATAGTAAATAACATTTGTAAAGGATTGATAGCCAGATGCTGGTGAGCCCAGGCTACTTTTGAAGTTTTCTGACTTTCTAATCAGGAGAGTAATCTGGTTTGTCTTTAGCACTTTGAGGGTTGAGGAGAATGGAGTAAACAGGGTGAAAAAAAAACTGTCTGCAGAGCGGAGTGCTTATCATTTATATCTGTTGCTTCCTTTAAGCTTCACAATAACCAAGACACTGATTTTATTTTATAAGCAGGGAAAATGATACCCATGTTAGGAAATTAGCCCAATATCAGAGAGGCAAATGAGAGTCAGACTCCTATAAAATATGCATAATTTTCTTCCCTAAGAGAGAATGCCTAAAATTGAAAAAAGCCTTTCATAGTAATTCCTCGTTTGTGATTTATTCACTCAATTAATATGTGTTGAACACCTCCTATGTGCCAGGTAATAGAAATAAATGTGATTATTCTGGAAGGCAGAAGAATTTCATGAGGAATTGTATTTATTCAGTTTTGTTTTGGGGGTGGGGTGGTTACTAACTGTAAGGACGAAATAAAAACCAAGCCCTTCGTCATTTGGTTTCAATGTTGAAACATTACCCATTCCTTAGTGTCATCAGTCTGTTGATTTTGGAAAATATGGTTCTTAAAAAAAAAGTCCTTTGCCATGCAGAAGTTGCTGAAGCCTTACTCCCCAGTCCCATGTGTGCTGGATTCAATTTAACAGCTGAACATGGTGTACTTAGAATCTTTTTTTTTTTTAAATAAACCTGTCTTCAAGTGTCTATTTGATTAGGCCAGACTCTCCAAAGGACAGGATCCATGTTGGAGCTCTTCACAGCCATTACCCCAGAGCCAGTCCAGTACCTGGCCCCAAGTTAGCACACACACATTGGATGCCACACCCGTGTTTTCTCAAATCTCTAGGGCATTCCCACCATTTGCAGCTGACCTCATGATATTTTGGAAATTGATACATGTGGTTCTGCAGGTAAGTTGCATTATTAATTTGAGGCTTGCTGTCCTCTTTACAATGAATTTAAATTGTGGCATCTTCTCTTCACTTGGAGTTTATAACATGACATTTAACTTTGAGCAAGCTTTAGTGTTTTGTCCCAGTAGGATTCCATTTTAAACAGTCTGCATTTCTTTCCCAGGAATGTGTTACCTAAACGTGTTTCTGAGTCATCTAGGAGAGCGATCCAGCTGCGAGTAGCTCTCAGGAGTCACTGTGGGAGGGGGAATTTCAGTCTCCTCAGGGCTGGCTGCCACCTTCACGTTTCAAAGGATAAATCCTGAGCTAAAGTAGTATTTTGCTATGAATTCTGTTTTCTGAGTTCACACTTTCTGGTGGAGACAAAATTCTAAATCATACCTCATGAATGTGGTCTCCCCATTGGATTCTTTCATATGCACTCATTCATTTATTTGTCCATTCAACAAATGATACTGAAGCCAGGTCTTGCTCAGACAGCATCCAAAGTAGTAGTAAGGAAGCAGATTGATTATTGCCATCTTTTCTCATGAAGTCATCTGGGGATAGAGCAAGTAAACACAACACAGCATGGTGAACCGCAGTGTCTGTGGTAGCACATGGTGCTGCAGGAACTCCTGGGAGGGGCTTCCCGGGGGAGGTGGCTCTAAAGAAAATGTGAAGGCCTGGTAGGAAGGAGATGGGAAGAAGGTGTAGGAGCAACAGAGCAGCATTCCCAGCTGAGAAAGCAACTTACAGAACGGCCTTTTAGGGAAAAGCAGCAGCACACTTAGAGCACAGAAGGTGAGATGGCTGTGGAAATGGGGCTGCCCTGACCATGGGGCTAGAAAGGGAGACAGGACTGAATAGAAAGGACACCTCTCTAAGAGGAGACGGTAGTGGGAGGGTGTTGGAACGGCAGAAGGCATGATCAAATTTGTATTATTAGACTGAAAGGTGGAGAAGGGATTGCAAAGGCCTAAGCCTGGAGGCTGGGGGAACTGGTAGGAAGCTTTTCTACAAACCCGGATCAGACATGAGGTAACCATGAAATGAAGCGGGAGGTAGACCAGAGGGAAATGGGCTGTTCTGATCCCCACCAGACTCCATGTAGTGCAACTCCAATTGCTGAACTCTTCATTGTCTTTAGTAAGAAGCAGAATACACATAAATAAATCGCAAGTTCATATGTATTTTCACCTCCAACCAAGGCTTTTTTCATAGTGCCTTCAGATTGCCAAGAAACCTTTTAAATAGCACACAGTGAGCATGACTGAAATGATGAATGAAAAACTTGAAGTTAAATAAAGCAATCTGTTTTCCTTCTGGCACTCTTTGAAGCACAGAGGCCTGACGACAGAGCTCTCAACATCAACGTGAAGAGCATTTATTAAGTGTCTGTGGCAGGGGGTAGAAATTCAAAGAGGTGGGAAAGAGAGTCCAGCCTTCAAGAAGGATCCTGCCAGGCATCTGCTCCGTATCAACATGACCATGAGGGACGAGATACCTGGAGAGTATGGCCGCACATAGCTGTTCTCAAGACCAAATACATAAAAGGAAAAGGTGGACGGGTTTAAAGGGGCAGGGCTGGGCTGTGAACAGTTGGAAGTTCCTCCTGACAATGTGATTCACCCTGAGACCATGAGGTATTTTATGAGCAAAGTTACAACGTGTGATATATGTGCCCTTTGAAGGCAGAGTAAAAGGGTATGATTTAAAAATAGAAGTCAGCTTCTTGTAGCGGATTACATCAGCTGAAGTTGTGAGCTTGCAGCAGAGCTTTTGCAGCCTGAATGCCCTTGAGAGAGTCCTCCTGTGGTCAATTAAGTGTCTTGTTTTTCTTGAAAGTCAGAAATGGGATGGAGGGTAATTATTCTAAATGGAATAAAAGCTGTGTTAGGTGTAAGAAAATAGTCCCGAATCCTCTCAAGAGATAGTATGGAAATGTATACGTGGGCATTTACAGGAGTCTGAGTCCTCATAGACAAGGACAAGCGAACCAGTGTTTTAATGAGGGCCATTCATTAAACAGCTAATGAAATCCTACAGCATTTGTCTACTGTTTCATCACCATAATTTAAAAGGATAGCTAAAAGGTATTGTAGGAAATGAGTGATACAAACTGGTATTTGCAGGTGTATATTTAAAATAGTGTTAGGTTTTGGAGACCTGTTTATGACTAATCATATTATCAAAGGATGTGTTATGATGAGAAGGCTTATTAACAAACGTTGGTGGCTTACTAGGTGGGACCTTATTAGGGCTATCAGTCAGTGGTGTTCCGGTGTCCTGATTGTGCAAGTTTGGGTCTATAGCACTTGGTCAAGGACTGGTAAACAGCAGTATTGATACAGGGGGTGGGTTTCCTGTGAACAAAGACTTGGGTTAATTAATTTGACAGTATCATTAATTGCTGCTGAAATCATTGGTCTTTGTCAGAGGTCAGGCTCTTTTAGCAATTGAGGGCAAATCCCGTGAGAGTTGGAGACACAATGTAATGCAAGAGTGTCACTGCTCAGCCATCTCAGGCTGTGGGATGAAAGCCTTTCCTTTCTGCCTGGGTCACTCAGCTCTCTGGATTAAACCAGTTTCTGCTTTACTTCCCTGTCTAGGGTGAGGCTAGGATACCTCCCCGCTCCCTAGTGAGTTGTGTTGAGTGAGTGGAGAACATTTTCAGTTTGGATCCATGCAGTGAACCAGTGTCAAATGTTTACGCGCTAATAACTCCCAGGGCTTTGCTGAATTTATATATAAAGGAGGTAGAGTAGGAGGCTTACTCCATTATCTCCTCTTCCTCTTCTAGTTCTAGAATTCTACACACTGGATTGACTTTTATGAGGACAATTACTTTTGTAAAACTAATGCTCTCTTAAATATGTTTCAGAACTCACCATGTTCATTTGTAGGTTTTGGTGTCTGCCTGTTGTTTGTTTGGGTTTAGTTGTTTAACTGGGGTGCCTGTTTTCTGTGGATTCAAGGAGATTGACTGTAGCTGCCAAACCACACCTGTGGGTTGCTGCTTTTTTAGAGTATGTGAATGCCTCAGGAAACGCCTGCCATTCTCACATGGCACAACTTGGAAAGGAACGAACAATTACACCCATGCTTCCAATTCTGAATTGGATGAGATGAGGCTTTCAGGGTTTTGTGTTTATTGATTTTCCCCATGGAACTTGATAAATAGAAAAAAATTAGTTTAAAGGTGAAGCCAAGACCATTTAAAATAACATGCATGAAACAGATAACTCGCAGAGCTGGTGGCTGGCTGCCTGCTGCTCCTGACTGGAAATAGAGAGGAGGAAGAAGCGTGACCTCAGAGTCAGGATGGCGCTCCACTCTGTCCCAGCCCTTGCCGACACCAGCTGTTCCGCTTGGATAGGTCTAATAGGTCGATTGCAATTTTCTCATCTACTAAAGGTGATTGCTGAGCCCTCTTCCAGCTGTAACATTTTAGTGAGTTGTTTGTTTGTTTGTTTGTTTGTTTGTTTGTTTGTTTGTTTGAGATAGGGTCTCGCTCTGTCTCCCAGGCTGGAGTCCAGTGGTGCAATCTCGGCTCACTGCAACCTGTTTCCCAGGTTCAAGCGATTCTTGTGTCTCAGCTTCCTGAGTAGCTGGAATTACAGGCATGGACCACCACACTGGGCTAATTTTTGTATTTTTAGTACCGATGGAGTTTCACCATGTTGGCCAGGCTGGTCTCAAACTCCTGACCTCAAGTGATCTGCCCACCTTGGCCTCCCAAAGTGCTGGGATTATAGGCATGAGCCACCATGCCTGGCCTTAGTTTTTTGTTTTTTCTTTTTCTCTAAATCACTGCGCTCATCTGTAGAGACATGTAGATACTAGAGTAGGGCTAACATGTACTTTTTTCAATGTAGTGTTTTCCTGGGACTTCAAGTAAGTTCTGGTCCTGCTGAGTCTGCTCATTCTTGTTGCTGTTGCTCTAATCTTAGCTTCTGGAAAAATAAGAATGTTTCATGCATAATTCTTGGGTGAATTTATTGGACACTTTCAAAGAGGGGCCTTTGGTATTTACAAATGGGTAATATTTATCTCCTATTTATGTATGAATACTTTTGCAAGGGTCAGCAACCTATGGCCCAGAGGTCAGCCACCTGTTTTTGTAAATAAAGGTTTTGTTGGAACATGACCATGCCTATTCATTCATTTATCATCTGGCTGCTTTCACAATACCATGACAGAGTTGCACAGTTACAACAGAGGCTAATGGCTCACAAAGCTGGAAACACTTACTCGCTACCCCTTTATAGAAAACAGTTTACTGGCTACTGTTTTATAGGTACCTCTAGTGCATGTTGAGATTAGGAAAGTGTGAGGTTTTCTTAATTTTTAATTGCGGTAAAAAAAACAAAACACATGTCATAAAATTTACCATCTTAACCATTTGTCGTGCCCAGGTTGAGTAGTGACCAGTATATTCACATTGTTGTGCAATGGATCTGTAAACAGATTCATCTTAGCCCCAGACAGTCCAATTCTAGAGCTCATTATGCAAACCACTTCATTCGTCCAGCTCTTACAGAGCACTGTGAACAAATGAAATCCAGGGCCCATGGTACTCAGAGTAGAATGAATCCTGATCCACAAACCAGGAGATCCATTTCTTCAGGGCATAATGCTGGGCAAGCTACCAAACCCTTTCACCACGCTAAGCCTCCCTTGCAGGTTGGAGCTGAGGGAGGTGCCCCTTACAGAGAAGCAGTGGGTTTTGGAGGGCGTGAGTCACAGGAGGTACTTAGCAGGGCGCTGGCACAAGGCAAGCTCTCGGATAATGGTAACTCTTTTTTATAGTTGCCATATTTATTACTGAATCTCCAAGGGGAAAAAAAATTAACATATGCTAAGTAAATCAGCTGTGGGGTCTCTGAGAGGTTGGTGGCCTCAGCCTTGGATTGCCCCCACAATGCGGGCTGGAGGAAATGGTGTTTATTGTTCTGAGTTGTCTGACCATTTGTCAGACAGGAGTCTCCAGGTATGATAGGCCACTGCTGACTTCCTCTTCTGTGATTCAGCCACCTTCCTCCATCCCAAGGTGCAGGTGACTTCCAAAGTGCCTGATTGTCTCAGGAGTCCTGCTAACCCAGGATGAGCTGTGTGCTCTTGGCCAATGGTGGTACCCACTTGTAATCCCAGCTACTTGGGAGGCTGAGGTGAGAGGATCCCTTGAGACTGTGTAGCAGAGATTACAGTGAGCCATGATCACACCACTGTACTCCAGCCTGGGAGACAGAGTGAGACCCTGTTTCAAAAAATAAAATATAAAAAAATAAAATTTTCCTTGGCTATAATGTGGTTAGATAGACAACCTGCCTTTGTATTCAGGGATTTTTCTCCCCTCCATGATCTACTTTCAGTTGGATGGAGTCTTTGAAAGAAAAAAAAAAATTGACTGTTGAGCATAATTTTGCATTTATAAATGGATGGACTAGGAAATTATATAGTAGTCTCTTAATTTGTACCTTTCGTACTTGATGTACCTTCACAGCTTTTATATTATTTCTGTTTTTAGTTTGACTTCATGGTGAGAAATATTTAAGTAAATAAATACTCATGATATGTTTATGTCCTGAAAAGTTTTTGGTTTCATTTGTACAACATAAGCAAATATATTTACACACATCCCCAAAGTGACAGACATTTAGGCACATTTCTGTCACATCCTGTTCTGTTGCCCAAGCTACAGGTTAATCCTCAGCTGCTACCATTATTCAGTCTCCACATCCAGGAAGACTCTTGTTTCTAGTAATTCTACTTCCAAAGTGCCTCTTGAATTGGTTCCCTCCTCTCATCCCCAGTGCTCTTATCTGAGCTAGGATCTTCCTCAATTTAGAGGATTACAGTTGGCACCCCTTTCCACGCTAATGCTAGTCCTAATTCTGTAACATAAAGTGATCACATCTTTTTCCTGGTTAATAACTTTCTGTGGCTCTTCCTTGGACAATGGACAAGTCCAAGCCTGGGGGAGGCTGGCTCTAACTTATCTCCCCCAACCCCAGCTTCCCTCTAGAATAATTCCCCTCCCACCTCTCTTCCCTCTGCTGCCACACACACATACACACCCTGTGTTTCCAGCCTCATTAAAATCCGTGCCATTCACCCCATTCTTATACACACTGACCTTTGCAGGCTCTGCTTCCCCCACCGGAAATTGCCTTCTCGCTCTTTTGTGCCTGTAAAACTCTGAGGCATCATTTAAGGCCACATGACACCAGGGAGCCTTTGCTGACTCCCCAAAGCAAGGCTGTTACCCTTTTGCACTGTTCCCATTGCACTTTATACATCCTCCTTAGCCTGCACCTTGGTAGATATTGAATAAATATTTATTAAATGAGCAAATAGGTTAATAAATAGGCTTAATTATTATTCAGTTGGGGTTCAAGACCCTGGTCTTACACATCCTTGAACCTCAGTTGTATAATAAAGAAACAATATTCATCTTATAAATGTATTACCTAAATTTAATCCTGCCATTGAACAAAAATGAGACTCAGGTATACAAGTGAGGAGTCATTTGATTTCAGTATCCTAGAAGATATTATCTATACATACTAATTCATCATTTCTGTTATTTGAATTCTGTAAGTAGAGGAAATATCCATACAGTTTTTTAAATTAAGCATATTTTGTAATACTATAAATGCTAATATGTTGTCTTAGAACAGATTTTTTTCAAGGGAGGAGTGAGAAGGACCACATCTCTCATGAGAGGCATTAAATCTTTGCATGTGACATTTGTCTAATTGTTTAAGGGAAAAGCTTGCTTAACTCTTGAGTTTCAGAGTGGACTCTGGACAAAAGTGAATTATCTGTGAACTGATCTGTGTGAACCGATCTGGTCCAAGATAGTTTTCGTTTTGCAAGATTGTCTGGCTTTTCTTCCTAAGTTTTATGTGTATTGGGTGGCACATGCAAGCTTGGTTTCTAGAATTTCATGGATGACAACATTCAAAACATGACAGGTTTTATTGAGTGGAACCATCAAGTTCCAGATCAAAATACTGCCGTAAATTGACCCCATTTCTTAACAAGGGCTCATTGGTGCCTCAGCCGCTTGAGTCCCTTGGATGGCTGTTTCCATGTTTCATCACTTTATGCCTTTGGTTACAGGGTCAGAGGGATGCATAGTGACTGTGACAACTCCCCCTGCCTCCACCCAACTGACTGTTCCATTGGCCTCTGACCCCTTTTGGTAGCTCCTAAAGAAGATACCGTCTTAAAGTATGATCATTAGGAAATTACCATGTTCAAGTAGTATGATTTACTAATTACTTCTCTCGTCGCTCTAGTTTGTCCCTAAGTCTGTCATAGCAACACATCCCTCTAGATTACTCTCTTCCTTTTGGTTAACAACTCAAATATCATCTTTCCCAGCTAGTCCTCTTATTCACCAAGATGAAATAGTTGCAATTCTTACCATCTTCTAGAATTCAGTATAAAAGAAGACAGTTAGATCCTCGTGGGTTAGCCAGCACTCTCATTTAAAGTATTTATGCTTCAGGGATCCACTATTTTTATTTTTTAAAAATGGTGATTTACTTACATATACAAAATAGAGCATGGGTTTTATTTAAATTTCAGACAAAAGCAGTGTAGCCACTCTTTCCTGAATGCCGTTAGCACGATAGCACTGTAAGTTGCCTTTATTCGAGTCAAAAAGAATTTTCATCAAATCCTCCTTTTTTACAAGCCAGCTATTCAGTGATGACAAAAATAATGGTTTGATGGTTGCCTAGATTGCCACTTTTACATAAAACTAGATTTATAAGTTGGGCTGTAGAAAATTAGCATTTTAGAAAGAAATACCTAAATCACAATTGCTTTAGGATATACTTGTGTCTGTGTAGTTTGTCATTAAGGAATATTAAAGAATTTTGCCTAGCACTTTTTTAAATGATTGAATTATTTTTGTTAGCCCTCAGCATAGCATTCTTAACAAGATTTATGCAAGCGGTATTGGCCCTATAATGGAGTCATAGGTTGTCATGATTTCATAGGTCCCCTGTCTCTCAGTAAAACTCAGAATCCAAGTCTGTCTATATTTTAGTGTTTGAACTATCAAAAGAACGATTGAATAGAAAACTGGTAGTTTCCATTCATAGTTCTGATATTTAAAATAACAAAATGATGTTGGATGATTCCTTGTTCTCCAGAGAACTGCCATAATTCTAATCTAACAGGGAAATAAGGAAATGGAGGCTGGCATGTTACCCGTTTATGTCCTGGTCAACAGAAGCTCTGTTCACTAAAATGTGCAGTTGTCAGCCACCAAAAAGTGGCTTTACTTTGCCTCCTTTAGTGACTTATTGATAAAAAGAAAACAGCTTTAAAAATATGTGTATTACGTTTCAAACATAAATTTTCAGGACAGTTACAGGTATAATAAAAGTATCCCAAGTGAAAAAATTCTGCTTTATCTTCAACAGTTATCCCACTCTTAATCATTAAACAAGATCGATGAAACTCAGAGAGAGAAGCCTTAAAATCCTAAATGGGCCAATTTTACATGGGTTCAGGGAGCCCTAAAAAGAAGCAGCCCCTAAGAGCCTATTGGTATAACACTGCAATGAAATTCCCACATGCATTAATCAGGCTTCTGTTGTTACCATCAAATGAAATATGATTTTCAGGCTTGGTAACACTTCACAGTTGATTGGTTCCTTCTATCCAACCACCCATCTATCTGTGAATCCATCTTTTAAAATTCTCTCTCCAGCTGTGACTCTGAGACAACCATTGTCATTTAGATGCTGATTCCTCACCGTGGTTCTGCTGGTGACTGCTGACATTGAAATGAGGGATGTTTCTCAAGATAGATTAATTATATAAACAAATTGAGGGACGACATTTTCTTCTGCTTCGTTCTTTTTAATAATTTCTGTCCCGGACCACTAGAGGTGGGACTCAGCTATGCTTACAAGCAAAAAATAGTTCATGGGTATTAGTTCATGTTCTGAGAGTGGTTCAGGCAAAGGGACTTGGAAAATATCCACATCGGAGGAGGAGGAACCGTAGGGGAAAATAGTCTAGGGATGTGAAATAAATGAAGAAATTTCTCAAGTAGGGAAGCTGAGAAAATAGTGGGGTAAAATATATTACATTTAGGATCTCGTTCTCTTTTATTATTATTTC